ATGAGTGAGTGAGTGAGAGCATGAGTGAATGAGTGAGTGAGTGGGAGCATGAGTGAGTGAGTGGTTCAATGAATAAGTGAGTCAGGTGAGTGGACAGATGGGGGAGGGAGTGAATGCGTGGGTGAGTGGATGAGTGAATGAATGGATGAACTCGGGAGAGAGGGTGTGAATGAGGAAACGACTGGATGCGTGAGGGTGTGGCTGAGCAGTGCCCAGGCCCATGCACATGCTGCTCGGGACATTAATCCCTCTGTCCTCCCGAGGCCCGGTCTGCGCGCAACACCCCTCCTCCGCCCCAGGCACCCTGGTCCTAGGATCTGACAAAGATCTGCTCACAAAGCCGAAACCAATACTGGACCTTCTAACTGAGCCCCTTCCCTTGGGCCAGAGAGTGGGCCTGCTCCGTTGAGGGTCCCTGGATTTAAGCATCGCTGGATTGTAGGGTGAGGGGCTCACGATTGCTGGGCTAGGGTCAGTGGACCACCCCCACCTCCACCCCTCCCACCAGCACACCCAGGGCAGGGTTGCAGCCTTTGGCCCATGGGGGGAGGTTCTCCCGCCCAGGTCCAGAGCCGGGCAAGCCCACTACAGTATCCGCCGAGTGGTCAGCATGGCTGAGGGCCAGGCAGGCAGGGTCCAGGGACTGGTGGCTGGGCAGTGCCTTGCTGTGGCTCAGGGAGTGACACCTGTCACAGGTGACGAGTGCTAGGGTGCATAGTCCCCACCTCGGCCGACCCCTCCTGTCAGCCGGACCATTGTCTGAGGGCCCTGGGGCTGCAGGAGCCAGGACCAGAGGGTGGCGGGCCCCCCATTCTGGCAGCTGCCAGCCTGCACCCGGGCACCTGCGGGCCCACTCTCTGTCCACTCTGTCAGGGCACCTGGCTACCGTGTCTCGGGCATGTCAACTTCTGTAGCCCACGGCATGACGTGGGTCCTGACTCATCGCCGCCCTTGTGGGAGAGGGCAGCGTGGGGCACTCTGAGGGCGACAGCCCTCCCAGTGCCAGCCAAGAACACTGAGCAAGCGCATTGGCAGGGAAGGGGGAGGAGGCTCCAGGAAATGAGCGAGCCCATCTTCGATGAAGCCCGGCGGGATGAGGAGACCCTGTCTCCTGTGTCGTGGACCTGTCATCTATCGGGAGAGCCCAGTCCCTGGAGAAAGAGTCAGGCCTGGTACCGTGGAGGGGCAGCAAGAGGGGGCCCTGGACACGATGGATGGACACAGTGGGTGCCACAGCGGGCCCGGCGCAGGAACAGCTGTGAGGATGGCAGGGGACGCGTGGTTGTGGTACACAGGTCGCTGCGGGTCAGAGCCTACCCCACAGCTCCTGACAGCGACGACGGTGACGACGGTGACAGCAGCCGCCGCGGTCGGTCTGCACGAGAGCGGCCCCTCGCCCCTCCCCCTCACGGGGCTGGTGTTTGGGTCTCCAGACTCCTGTGGTGACAGCTGAGCACTGAACCACTGCCTTCCGCGGCTCCTGTGAACACGCGTTCCATGGCCTGTGTCCCCACGGCAGCCCTATTGGAACAGGCACCAGGGTCTAGCAACCAAGACCGGGGAAGCTGGGAGGGGCCGAGATGCCTCCCCTGGACACCCCCTCCAACCCCAAAAGAAACCTCCCAGTCAGCGAGTCGGTGTGGATTCACAGTGACCCTACAGGTCAGGGTAGAACTGCCCCGTGGGTTTCCGTGGCTGTAACTCTTTAGAGGAGCAGAAAGCCTTGTTTTGCTCACAAGAAGCAGCTGGTGGTTTTGAACTGCTGACCTGGAAACTTGTAACATGTAGCCCAACCTGTGACCACTGCGCCAGGAGGCTCCTGAGCCTGCTCCCCCTCTTTCCAGGGCTGTGACAGGCGTGGACCTGGACACTGACCTGGTACACATGGAGGCCCAGGACCCAGCTGGAGGTAAGGGGGTGGGGTGTGCCAGGCCCCTTAGCTCCCCACCCCCACGACCTCGTCCCCGCCCAATTGCCTGTCCCCCGGGCCACCCGCCCGCTGACCACATCAGTCGGTGTGCTTGTCACCTGCTGGTGCAAACCAAAGCCCAGCAGCGCCCTCCGGTGGCAGGGCAGAGCACTGACTGTCCCTGCTCTCCGCCCAGGGCTGGGACCCTCACCACCCAGCCTGGGGCAGCCAGGGGCAGCTGTGTGAGCAAGAAGGCGCCTTCTCTGCTCAGACTCGTCCCCTTGGCGCTGCTGGGGTCTCTGAGCAGGGAGGTCTGAAGCTGCTCACAGCTGGGCACGGCCGGGCTCGAGGCTGGCCCTCACATCGAGGGGCACGTGTGGCGGGCCTGGCCTGGGTGGGCTGATATTCCCTGGGCGCCAGCACCCAGGGTTTCTTGGGCTGAATCGGGCAGCTGGAATCTCAGGCGGCGCTGTTCCTCTGCAGGCTTCCGCTACGTCACCTGCCGTATCCACAACTGCTCAGAGAGGACGCTGGTCACACCTTTCCCTGGCCCCATCGACCAGGGCTCTCTGACCGTGCAGGATGCCTACATTTTCTTCAAGGTGGGTGCCCAAACAGCCCCTTCACCTCCGCCCCTGTGTCCCCAAAGGCCCCGTCCAACACCAAAACTGGGCCTCAGCTGCCGCCGGCTCCTCTCCCACCCCCACTGTGAGCCCTGCCTCCTGGCTGGACACCCCCAAGGCCAAGCCCGTGTTGCCCCTTGGATTTTGGGAGTCTGAAATGGGCTTGGGGCTATTTCTGGCCACTGACCACTGGACACCAGCTGTCTACTCCCCAGTAAGCCACCAGGGCCCTGCTGAGTGTACCCCACACTCTCAGGGAGGGTCAGAGAGAGAGTGGCTACAGGTGGGACCATCCACAGGAACCACGGGCTTGTACAGGGTCCTACAGCTGCTTGGTTGCCTCCCCTGACGAGAGGCTCAGCCCTCGGAACAGCTCGCGCTCTTCTGATGGCTCAGGCCACGAAAAGGCTCACTCTGATGTGGACAGAAGCAGGGCTCTCTGTCCCATCCGGTGGTCCTGTGAGACATGGCCAATGACTCCTGTCGGGGAAGACCCTTGCCGTCTGACCCAGCCCCTCCATGAGCCCCAGGCTCCCCTGCACGTGCTGGGGGGACCCTTGTTCCTCCTGCTTGACCCACTCTGCACAGCATGTGCTAATGCCCCCATCGAGCGAGGAACTGGATCTGGAGGGGAGAGTAAGTCCCTCCCCCTGTCTCCCAGCAGACTGGCCGGAAGGTACTCAGTCCACCCTAACCTCCACTGCCCTGGTCTGTAGTCTGTCCCTGTCCCGCAGTTCCCGTCACCTTCCCCGCCTCCAGGCAACACCCTGGCAACACCGCCCGCGCCACCGTCTCAGATCCCGTCTGCCCACACTGCTGAGCCCCAAGCCCCTGTCCAGAAACTGCCACCTGCAGAGGGTCTGGACAAAGACGGCCCCCCCACCCACCCATCCGTTGGAGTGGTCACCAGAGATCAGGAGCAGCCCGTCCTTGGGGAAGTGTGTGTGCATACATGTATCTATGTATCTATGTGTGAACTTCAAGAACTTCGTGGGGAAATGGAGTCAGAAAGAATGGGATCTTCCCAGGATCTCTGTGACGCCCCTCATGTGTCAGTGCACTTGGGGGAGCTGGAGGGGTGGGGGCTGCTGGGGGCCAGTTCACACTCCCACCGCTTTCACACACGAAACAGGTTTGACCACGACTCTGCGTTCTCTCAGGCACACACTCTGTCTGAGTCTCGCAGGGTGGGGGCAGGGGGAGGGTGTCGCCAGAACAAAGCCCCCTCCAGCTGGTGACCTCCCCTGAGGGGCTCTGCTGGGCCTCAGAGCCCGAGGCAGAGCAGTCGCTGCAGAAGGTTAGCTTGACGTTTTTTGGAATTCCAAAGGATGCAGGACAAGTGTGAGGACTTACTGTGAAGGTTTTTAGGAAAACAGAAACCCGTGGCGTTGGTGAGAACAGCCCGGGAAAGCAGTGCTGAGGATGCTTCCCAGCAGACAGTGAGCCTGCCCGGCCCCCTCCCCTCCTCCGCTCTCCCTGCTGCTCCAGTCCTGCCCCTCGGAGCCTTAAGAAGGGGCATGGCTGGAGTCCTGTGAGGATGCCCATCTGTCCATCGTCTGTCTGTCTGACGGGGGTCAGTGGGAGGAGGCAGGGAGGGCGTGGCGCAGGGGACAACAGCTTCACAGTGGACACCGTTGTGTAGTGGTGGCACCGATGCTTTGTAGCAACGCTTTCTGACTGACCCTCATTAAGGATCTGTGTGTGTGTGTGTGTGTATATGCGCATGTGTTTATGTGGGTGTGGATATATGTGCTGTGTGTGTGTGTGCGTGCGCGCGCGCAGTCCTGGTGCTGTAGTGGGTTGTGCACCGGCCTGTGCACCACAAGGTCAGCTCACTCCTTAGAAAAAGATGACGCTTTCTGCTCCTATGAAGCGTTAAAGCCTCAGAGACTCACAGGGACAGCTTGACGCGGCCCCACGGGGCTGCAGTGGGTCGGTATCCACTCAGTGGAAGTCAGTTTGGTTTGGGGTGGATGTGAGAGAGTATGTGTATTCATATGTACACAGGCATGTAAGTATACATGTGTGTGCATGTATATACGTGTCTGTTCACACGTACACACATATGTGTAGACGCATGTTCATATGTACACGTGCATGTGTAGATGTGTATGTTCATGCATACACATGTGTAGATGCACGTGTAGCCATGTATATTCAGATGCACACACGTGCATATGTGTGTTCATTTGTACATGCATATGCACATGTATGTATAGATGTGTATATTCGTGTGTACACATGTGTAGGTGCATGTGTATATTCAGATGTACACACATGCATGTGTAGGTGCATGTGTTTGTGTTCATATGTACATACATATGCACATGTATGTGTGGATGTGTATACAAACATGTTCCTGAGGAGCCCTAGGAAAATAGGTAGAATCATTCCAGTATCTGTTTTCCCAGGAGCAGAGAAAGTCCGTTCTAGGAAGTGACTCCCACATTTGTGGCCACAGTGAGGCTGAAGACCCTCAGGCTTTGTGCGGGGCCCAGAGTGGAGAGCGGAGTCCCATGGTCTGTGGCCTCATTTCTCACTTGGATGCAGACTGTCCCAAAGGAAGCCCCCTTGCCGCTTACTTGCTGGGTGTGAGCGAGTGCACCTGCAGCCCTGTGGGAAGACCCGCCCCACCCCCGTACCCCCTTCCTGTGATAACTGGTTTGCTGTCCTCCACCCCATCCCTCTTCCCCCGAGCAAACACCTCTCTTCTGGCTCCTTTGCCGGCCGTGCCTCAGTGTCTTCATCAGTAAGCGGGGACGGGATTGTGTGAGGCTCACCGGAGCTGCACGCAGGCATTAGCACATCATGCACCGAGTGGTGGGGTGACCCCCTTCTGTGGCTTGGCTTCCCAAAGCACTCTCCCTGAGTCGGGGGACTAGAGCTCATCCCCCTGTTCCATAATTCCAGTGCAGGGAAACGAGGTGCAGGAGGAGCCTGGGGAACAGAGATGTGCTCCAATGAGGTAGACAGAGGAAGGATTCACAGGGAAGGGGCGTTTGGTCTGGGGCTCTGAAGGATGAACAGGTGGCTGTCTGTTTCAGGCAGGCATAACAATGGTGCAGTTTGCAGTCCCGAAGCCCTCTTTGAAGTATGTCTCTTCCCTCCAATTAGGCAACCTCAACAAACCGGACCAAATACTACGTCTCCTATCGCCGAGGCCCGTTTGTCCAGATGAGGCTGCCCAAGTACGCCCTGCCCAAGGTGAGTGCTGGTTCCCCACCTCTGCTGGGCCTGCACCTACACACTCGGTGGGCAGTGCAGCCACCCTGGGGGCACACCCTCCTCTCAGCCTCTTCCGTAAGCCCCCTGCCCTTCCACCCATAATAGGGCCAGCTCCCACTGGCTTCTTTCTTTCTTTTTTCCCCCCAAGAACAAACATTCTTTATCCCTCCCCCCTTTCTTTCTTTTTAAAATACTTTTATTGGGGGCTGTTACATAACTCTTATCACAATCCATACATTCATCCAGTGTGTCAAGCACATTTGCACATATGCTGCCATCATCATTTTCAAAGCATTCTCATCCCACT